CAACATAATTACGCGCGAGCGATAAGGATGGGTAGCTTGAGGTCATTGGACAAAATTGTACGTGCTCGCGGACCAGTCTATAACTATCCATTGCCTGTCATATCGTCTCGTTCTATCGCAAACAATCACCATGTTGAGAGCGAGAGCAAACACGGAAATGGATAGTTAACGGTGTGGCCGTGTGTACTTCCAATCACATGGTTTTGGATCGATTCTTTCCTTTATAAGGCAAAGGCGTTATGCACTGACCTCAGTAAACACTGGACAGGCTGTGTCATACAAATAACAGCTAATTTTGTGAGCCAATTTGAAACGCTACGAGTGTCCCGAGAACTAATTTTGAAGTACAATAGAAAGTAACCATAGGAGTAAGCGAGAAAGAACATCAAATATTTGAAAAAAATATTTTCAATCAACTACTGTCTCATTTTAACTTAAATAAACTGTTTCATGAAAAACAATATGGGTTCACAAAAGGGAAAAGTACGACCGATGCAGGGGTTGCTCTTATCAAACACATTTTCGATGCTTGGCAGGAGAAAAAAGATGCTATTGGTGTATTTTGTGACTTATCGAAGGCGTTTGACTGTGTTGATCATCAAACTCTGTTATTTAAGCTAGAACATTATGGCGTATCAGGCAAGGCCTTAAGCCTATTACACTCTTACCTCTCAGACAGATTACAAAAAGTAAATATTCACGGAACTAACTCTTCGGGCGCCCCCCTAAAAATGGGAGTGCCCCAAGGCTCAATACTGGGACCATTGCTCTTTCTGATTTATATAAATGATCTACCTTTTTATTCAAAGGACCTTTGTGAGATAGTATTATTTGCTGATGACACTGGGGGGTCAAGTCATAACCAGTTTCTATGGGCTGGGGGGAGGGGCTAGCCTTACCCAGCTTCTGGCCTGGGGGGAGGGGGGAAGTCAAGTCATACCCAGTTTCTGGCCTGGGGGGGGGGTAATGTAATACTCAGCTTCTGGCCGAGGGGGAGTCATACCCGCGTCTTTCCGTTCTATACATGGCCAGAACGCACCCATAGGAAACTGCTCGTGTATATTTTGTAGTGCCCGTTTGTAAATCTGTGACTCCAAACTATACACGAATTTTGCGTACTGATCGTGTATAGTTTGGAAGAGCTTAGTAAAAAAAGTCATATCCAAACTATACTCGATTAGTTTCAACTACACCACTTACACTTGACTAGAGTGTGTTTAGTTGATATTGATTTATTAAAATATGGAATTATATTTAAAATTACATTTATTCGATATTATTACATAAAATATTATTATTTTACTGAATCTATAATAAATCTAGATTTTTAACACTATTGTAAGTGGTTTTTCAAATTAAATTAAAAAATACCCTTATGTCCAAAGGGTACTACAAGGTTCGAGACTATATTGATGACAAGGATGCGTGGTCAGTTCAGTCTGCACATATTTTTTGATGTACTTAAAGACTATTCTTACCGTTAGATAATTCCTGGCAATAAGTGGTGACTGAGTTTGTTCCGGCGTTTCTTCTCAGCACTTGCCATATGTTTGTCTCGAAGCGCTGGTAGGGCCCAAAAGATAAGGAGACATGTAAAGTTCCCCATAAGGGCTACCTTTTTCTTTTTTTATTATTTTCTATTGACGTTCATAAGTGCCACTTGTGGTCTAAACTGAATAAATATTTTTGATTTTGATTTTTTTTTTATTTTTTGATCACTAATTTTAGTTCCATGGACACTCGTATCTGTCTAGTAAAAATATTATGACAGCAGCCAGTCCAGTGTGTATCTATAGAGGTCAGTGGCCTGTGTCAGTGGCATTATGCCATACAGTCAAACAAGTCCCAATAGGGATGTGGCAGTATTAATAAATCCAATTGTCGATTGTTACTATAAATATTTAGTGTGAAAACTAAAACAAATTAACGATAAAAAAATCTTATGCGTTCTTTACAGTGGAAATTTAAATAGTATTGAAAAAAATGTTTTAATTTTTCAGAATAAAGTGGAATATGTATGTGGACTTACTACTGATGAGAGCGAGATAGCCAGCTGGTGTGAGGAGAATAAAGAAGAATAGTTGATGACGTCTTGACGACTGTTCCTGGTCTATTCTTAGTACTTCTAGATTGCATTTGTTGTTTACTGCTCTAAGGTACAGCCAAAAGAAAGTGTTCTATTGTCCATAAGTACTTAGATTTGTTATTTCATATTTAATCATAACACTGTACTTAAACTATTATTTATCATGTAATGTCACATCACTTACTAACAATTTCTTAATTTAGAGATTTGATTTCCATGTACTCTTATAATCTTATTTTTACCTATACAAAAAAAAATAAACGAAGAAGTCAGAAGCACCTCTAATCGCTCCATATCTTGAGTAAAGATAAAGCGTACGTAATTTAAAGGAATCAGATTAATAAGTTGTTTTTTTTATTAGCAACTCCAAAGCCAAAAGCGTTTGCAGTTAGTGGTGGGTGCTTCTGCGATTTTATTATGTGTAATGCTATGTAGGGGAATTCTGTGAATAAAATAAAATAATAAAAATATATATTTTACGAAGCATTTTACTGAGTTAGTTAACGTAGTTTGCTCAATGTTAGAATTCCATTTGAGCGTTTTAATTATTTTTAATGTTTATCATATTATCTTAGTAAAGAATTTGAGGCTTCTTCAAGCTGTAATTGTTATATCAAATAGTAAAACGTTTTAGGATATTGGAAAGAAAGTGTTTAGAATATGTGTGATAATAAAGGTATATTTTAATTTCCACGGGCCTGCGACCTGCGACGTTTGATTTGCGTAATGTGCACGCTCCGTGGCTGTGAAAATATACCTTTAAAGGGGGCGAACTGCTCGTTTTGTTCGCATTCTGCTCGCAAACGCTCGACGTATTGTTCCTAGTGTTATAAGCCATAAGGTCGCGAGTCATTAACTATATTTTAAATGTAAATCAACAAAAATACCAACCATTACATGGACCAAATGTTGACGTTTTTCCACTTACTAATGTAGTTGTAAGTTTAATTGTTTCACTTTTTGATATTTGAGTGAGAAATTATTATTGATATAAATAAATCATTAATTTTAATTAAAACTGTAATACACACAAATTTTTACAATTTTTTTTGATTGACGCACCTTGCCACCTTCTAAAATATTCATTTATCATTAAGATTCATGCATGTTTAGTGAAATACAAATGAAAATTATATCATTGATATTTGAAAGATAATTTAAAGATCTCTTTTGTATTTAGCGTATAGGCCAAAACTTTTGATTGTTTTCTTGGGAAAGAAATTGGTAAGAAAAACAATGTACAGGTTGCTCTTAATTATGTGAAAATACTCTTAAGTTTGCTAAGCTGTCGCATCTGGATCACCGTATTTTGTATCTATTGCAATGCTAGCAACACTAATTAATCCTCTTTGTGATCCGTATAAATTACATTTTGAGTACCGCTGATAAAAAATAAACAGCCTGTTTAATGAAGTCAGGTGGATTGTGGTGCCTGCTGAACTGTATTTCCGAGTAACTTATCATTCGTAGTATAATAAGGACCACGCTTAACTCGTACATAGGTGCTAATCATATTGCTTTTAGAGGACTTGTTATGTAAGTACATAACTAATAAATTATTTTAGTAAATAATGCGTTTCATTGCTGCTTATTGACTAGTGTCGTATAAGTTCCGTACCTTCACGTTGTCCGTAGGTTTTGGCTTGCAAAATAATATGCAAAAATTCAAAAGGCCCTATAAGGATATTAGGGCACGTGCAAGGGACTTTGCTTGTGTTATTGACTTTCAACTCGTTGCCCACTTATTAGTGACTTATCGATAATTTTTAACAGCGTTGTTGAATCGAACACACATCACTACCATTAGTTGATGGATGACACCACAGATTAGAAGTGACACTGACATTTGACATTTATTTGACGTCAGTGAGTGACAGCCAGCCAGCTGGCTGACCTTTTGCTCCAGAAAATAAACAAACATAATTTTTATTAAATAGCGCAAAAACATACGCTCTGACCTAAATATTCATTAAATAAATTAATTATAGCAGTGCAGTGAAAGTATTTAAGAATTTATAAGTAAACTATGGCTGTATACGCTGCTCACATTACACGGACGCTTCAGGGAACTCCTTCAATTTTCCAAGTTACTGCCCAAGATGCGCTGGGTTCCACTGTGAAGCCGGCCCTGAAGAAGTTAATCGAGGTAACCAGACACTTGTTCAAATTAAATCGTGTAAAACTAAAAGAGTATGTCATAAAACATGAATCGCAATTTTTAGGTTAGGATTTGGTAATAAATTTTATTAGAAGAATTTCAGTGCTTTTTGATATCTCATGAATAATATTATGTAATATTAGTTGTGATAAGAGTCTTAAAGTTTTATCACGACTATCAATAAGTATTGTAAATTTTTTTTTCTTGTGATTTGAGAAGTAGGGTAGGCTACATAGAGGCTACATAAACAGTGTCAATTTTTCTCATGTATCTGACATGCAAAGTCTTTTAATGAATACCTGCACATCTAAATAATATGAAGATGGATTCTGCCGTCGGTGGTTGAAGGATCCGCGTCGTTGCGATACTTTCAGTCACTATTTGTGGGATTTTCTCTTTCGTTTTGAGTTTTTATTGTGTGTGGGNTTTTTCACTAGACAGCAACCCTAACAGCGTAAGAAGAGTTCAGAGGCACGCGATAGAAAGAGACAAAACTTGTAGGTGAATAAAATTGTAGGTACGTAGTGCTGTGCGAGCTGAATTCCACTGTATCGCGTCGCAGCAAGACTCGCATTTATTTAAATCGTCGTGCGGAGTAATCCTTCTGTACCTGTACTATTACTTATTCTGTGCCCATGTGACATGCAATAAATAATTTGAATTTGAATTTGAACTTTTGACGTTTGTCAAAGTATGATGGTGCAACCCAGCATTAGTGTAGCTTGACAAACCATCATGATAATAATATTTACTCACTCATTGTAGGCCGGACGATGGTGCAAGGGAACACATCAGCACACTTGACCACTTCGTGCTCAGCCAAATGCTTCGTGAACGTGTATGTGTTTGGATGGGACTTCAGCACTCTGGAATAGAAAATAAAACAATTAAGACTTTTTTAAAGCTTTTTATTTAAAGTCCGGTCTGTGAGCTCGTAGAATTTTGTCTCGCTCGCTCGCACACTCACTGCGGGCGCGCGTCGCACAGTCGCGACAGCAATATAATTACGCGCGAGCGATAAGGACGGGTAGCTTGGGGTCGTTGAACAAAATTCTACGTGCTCGCAGACCAGAATAGAGGCTAATGTGAAAAATTTTAAGAAAACATGCCCATTTTCTACATGCTAAATGATTAAAGCCTTAACACAACTCACTTAGGTTCAATCTCCTCCAGCGCTTCGTCGCTCAAAGTCCCAACCAATGAGATCACCTTTTCAGCGTCCTCCGGTGCTTCGTACACTTTCTCGTGGGCCTCACTCAAGTAAGAGTTCACATAGGCTGAAGATACGTGGATCATGACCTGTGGGTATTTGAATAAATTATTGTTATACCACTAAGGCCCAGAACAGAAGGTGAAACGCAACTGCAACGAAACTGCAACTGCTAGTTACTTTTGAGCTGCATCTAAGTTTCTGCCATAGCGTCCGTTGAGAGACCACACATGACGCGACCAGTTTGAAACTTTCAGTTTCAGTTTCATTCATCAGAATCATCAGAAAGTTGAAGTTTCGTTGCAGTTGCGTTTCACCGTCTGTTCTGGGCCTAACTTGTCTTGATAAAACATGTAGATCGTTTCATCCACGAAGACGCGCCCCACCATTCTTCCGCTAATGTTTGAGTGTTATCGGTACACACTAAATGATCCATGAGTGCACACGCACACTACAATAATGACGCTCGGATTGCTCGGATCAAACTCCCCGCACCCCGCGCGACCGAGACCAAACATTGGTGGGGCGCGTCCTAGTGGATGAAACGATCTATAAAAGTTAAAAAAGTTGAGAACACAACCTTGATGTGTAGCGAACTATCCTATGCATGACATTGACAGTGGGGCGCCACCGTCAATACCGGATCGCTGGTTTCGATTTTTGCCATGTTGGAAACCATATAGTTGAACGATGGTAGCGCCCCTGTCATTGAGTTTGGTGGGACAGTTCAACGTGGGTCATCTATACAAATGTTTTGCAAAGTTTGTCACTTTTAACATAGGAAGAAAAAGTGAAGAACGATGAATAATAATATCAACTTACGTTTTCGCTACAAAAAGAAATCGGATCCATTTGTACATTAAAATAAGACATACTAGCATAATTGAAAGTCTAGCTGGCGCTTAACTAGGTCAGTGCCTGAGGCACGGGAGGGTGTTTTCGAGACGTCAAATGTCAGTGAGTCTTCAGATATGGTTCAGATTATGTAAATGTCACCTCTCCCGTGCCGCTCCTACACCTCAGGCACTGACTCAGTTATGCGCTATAGTCCGGTCGCCGAGCACGTAGAATTTCGTCCAATGACCCCAAGCTGCCCATGCTTATCGCTCGCGTGTAATTATATTGCTGTCGCGACTGTGCGACGGGCGGTCGCAGTGAGTGTGCGAGCGCGACAGCAACATAATTACGAGCGAGCGATAAGGATAGGTAGCTTGGGGACATTGGACGAAATTCTACGTGCTCGGAGACCGGGCTTTAGATCTATAACAATCATCATCATCACCTTCAAATTCTTCATGTCTTTACACAGCGCCATAACCTTCCGAGTCCCCAGCAGATTTATCTTCACCGTTGGCCTCAAATTCTCCTGGAAGTCCAACGTAGCAGCCGAATGTATCACCACATTCACATTCTCAGCCAACGTCTGCCGGTCAGCTGGACTGAGACCAAGATTCTCTTCGCCCACATCACCGGCCACTGGTACTATCTTCTTGAATATATCAGTGGAATTTTTCTCTAGAAGCTTCTCGAACACCTGTAATATAAGAAAATTGACTGAGCTTTGTTTTCACACGCACTAAAGTATTTGCTATTGGCTGACGATAGTGACTGAGTTTTTTGCGCTGCTTCTTCTCAGCACTGGCCGATTATCCCGAAGCAGTGGTAGGGTTAATACTGGGACGTGAAAGTGCTTTTTAAAAGCCTATACCACTAGTGGTGTAACAAATGACAATATGAGGGTAGTTGGACGACGCCGCGAGAAGCCAGTCTGCTTGTGACCATGGCTACAATATAGCCGTATTCTGTGTCGAAACGTCAAGCCGTGAGTGCATAATGTAACTCATACAGAAAAGTTGCGTTAAGACCCGTGTCTTTTCAATTTTAGTGAAATTGACTGAATCTCTTGCACTACTTCTTCTCAGCACTGGCCCATTTAATGTCCCGAAGCAGTGGTAGGGTTAATACTGACGGGACGTGTAAGTGTTTTTTTATAGGTGTACTTGCAAAAATAAAATAACTTTTCTTTTAATTATTTAATTTGACAACATGGAGGACTTAATTTTAATATTAATTCCACGTCTGAAAATTACGCAGTGAAAATTAATACCAATAAGTTCGTATACGAAATATGTAAACGAAGGTTAAGGTTATACACCAGACAGTTGTGATTATTTATAAATAAATCAATCAATTATTAGCATAATGGAGGATAATTGATTTATTTAAATGCATGACAAATTACAATTTTTGACTAAAGTCATAATACTGTTTTAATATTGTTTTAGTTTTATCATTTAAATTGGGCATCTTACAAATAAATTAACAAAACTAATTTTATTTAGTTTTAGTAGTGAATGAAACAGTTTGTTTAAGATAATGCCTGTATTCTGTAATTTAGATATTCTACTAAGAAATAAATCAGTATCAATAACTATTAAAATGTATGTTAAATATGATAATGCATTCAGAATTTAGTTAACGGAATTGTTGGTACTAACAGTTCAATTTTAGTATATTAATACTTATTCATGCTATGTCTGAAAACATAATAATATTAATATTATGTCACATCAAATTAATTACTTATAGACTTTAGGATGCACCCTATTTAGTAAATTAAAGTATGTAATCATATCATGAACTGAATGAATATTTAAAATATGGATCATATCTTTAAAAGCTCTTTTTCTTTCAAACAGAACTAAATTTATAGATTGTGAGAGAAAACAACTGTACAGGTCTGTCTAATGGCGGCCTAGTGAAATTGTTATTGTAGAGGTCGCATACGACCAAACTCCTTGGCCGCTCGCCTGGCTGGCGAGAAACTTCTTTTTCTTTTATGTTTTTTATCGACTGTCACTTGTTTCTCTTCTCTTGACTTTTAAACATGTAACTTGATTTTATATTTACAATATAATTTTATTTTTTACACCAAAAAGCCTTTCAATCAAATAATCTCTCGTAGTGTCGGTGACGTATTTCGTTCATGGTCCTTCGAGCCGGATTGGCTTTGAAGTAATGATGGTAGGAAAATTACGGTAGTCCATACTTCGGAATACCGCCCGTACGAAATTATCGGATAGCAAAAGTGCTATCTTGGAGTCCATGCAGTGGTGTCAGCGGTGACCACACGGCAGCGGAAGGGTCCGGTCTCTGGTGTAGACTGGATAAACAGTACGGGAGGAGCAGAGAGTCTTTGGCAGCGGTTGGCGGCAACCGAGGAGCGCTAGGGAGCGCTACATAGAACGAGCAAAGCGAGCGTGAGTGAGAAGTACGAGCCTAGGAGCTGATGGTGCACGTATCGTCGTCACAGTGTGTGTTGTGAAGTGTAATCGTGAGTACTTTAAACCTTACTTATTGATACGAAACAAAATGAAGATTTAAAACATAACTTTGGGACATTAAATTCTACATTAGTACTTTGCAATTCTCATATTTTATCTTAATTTTTAAACTGATTGTATATTTTGTGTTTCTTTGTTTGTATAGTTTTGTATATTTTTATTTGCTGTGTGTATTTGTAAATAGATTTGTAAACTATGGATCCGCTAGTTAAGGTTCAGGAGGCCACTAGGGCTGCAATTGTAAGAGCATTCACGAACTTCAAAAAGTCTCCAAAAGATAGACTGACTCAAGCTTATCTTGAGACCAGGCTTGAGGTATTAGAGCAACATTGGGGAGTCTTTTTCAAAACACAACAGGAGATTGTAAGCACTATTGATGACGATGAATTACAGGAATCTCACTATTATAGGGAAAGTGTGTTTGATGATGTTGAGGAACTTTATATGGAGTACAAGTCTCACATCAAGGACAAATTAAATAAGTTTCATTCACTGCCCATTTTAGATTCACACACAGAACCAGCTCCACACTCAACTCAGTTTAAGTTGCCTGAAATTAAAATTCCAACCTTTTCAGGTAAGTACATAGAATGGCAAACTTTCAGAGAGCTTTTCATAGGACTAGTTCACAATAATCAATCACTAGATGCAGCACAAAAGTTATATTATTTGAAAGCTTATCTTGTGGGAGATGCTGCACAACTTTTAAATAATATTTCAGTTTCAGCTGAAAACTACATAAGTAGCTGGGAAAAACTCGAGCTTATGTACAATAACAAAAGGTATTTAGTCAATAACATTTTAAACCGTATGTTCAATCAAAAAACTTTGCAAACAGAATCGGCTCAGGATATTAAACATCTGTTAAATACCACATCTGATTGTTTAGAGTCTATTAAGAACTTAGGAGTGGATGTCTCATCTTGGGATATTTTTATCATTTACCTAATCAGTGGGAAGCTTGACAAGTAGACTAGGAAGGCATGGGAGTTAAACATTTCATCGGACGGGACTGGTGAATTGCCGACCTACGAACAGTTTGCTCAATTTTTAACTGCACGATTCCGAGGCCTAGAAAACTTGAATGAGCGGACTAGTTCTGAGAGGGTTACATGTAAAAGTTCACAATCTTTTCATTCGCGAAATGTAAATATAATTTGTACATATTGTAAAGATAGTCATAAAATTGCGAATTGTAAAAAGTTTGCCCACGAAAGTAATGAAACTCGTCGGTGTTTTGCTCAAAAGAAAGGGTTATGCTATATTTGTTTGTACAATAATCACTCTGCCAAGGCTTGTAAAACTAACTTCAAATGTCATATTTGTAAGAAACGTCATCATACGTTGTTACATCCCAGCGGGTTATCGAAATCTACGGGAGATAAATGCGCGAAGGGCGTTGATTCTGCCATGCGGGCGGAAGGTACGAAAGCTAGTTCAGGCACACAAGTAGGAAAGCATAATGAAAAGGTAGTAACATGTATTTCGACAGGACAATGTAATGAAACGGTTTTATTACCAACTGCCTTGGTTGAAGCCGAGTCGAAAAATGGTACTTACCGCGGTATGCGAGCCTTGTTAGATCAGGGTTCGCAAGGATCTTTCATAACGAAAGCAATGGTTCAGCGCTTAGGGCTGAAAGAAAAACCTAACGAACACGCCGTGACAGGTGTAGGCGGGGATAATAGTTTATCCACAAAGTCCACTGTGACTTTAAACATAAAGTCTAGGTTGGACCCAAATTTCAGTATGCAGGTAAACGCGTTCGTCTTGAAATCGATAACATCTATGCTTCCATCAGTAGAGGCACGTCCAGTAGATACTATCTACTTGTTACCGGAGGACCTTGCCGATCCTGAGTATTACAAACCTCACAAAATTGACGTCTTGTTAGGCGCTGAGGTATACAGCCAGGTCACACGAGCAGGCATAAAACGTAGTGCAGATAGGCGTGTATTAGCTCAGGATACGATGTTAGGTTGGATATTTTCAGGCGTCGTAAATACAAACTGTCCATCCAAACACAAGTCATTTTCCAACACTGTGGTAATGCATTCACATGCAAGGAATAAAACATTTACCTCAATGTGTAAGCGGCAATACTGTTTTTGTAAACCTTGTAAATAATTTTAAAATGTATTCGGTAAACCTATTGTGTTTGTTAAAACTGTGTTAATTTCAATGTGTTATAAAGTGTGCATGTAAATATTTGTAGTGTACTTACTACAATGCCTCGCTATAGGCAAGGATGTCATTTTATGTTAACTTAATGTATTACCTCTAAGGAAGAGATTGTTGTTGTTTCTTGTTTTCTAAAATAACTAAAGGACATTCTGCTATAATGTCCTTTGGCGGGCGGAATGTACAGGTCTGTCTAATGGCGGCCTAGTGAAATTGTTATTGTAGAGGTCGCATACGACCAAACTCCTTGGCCGCTCGCCTGGCTGGCGAGAAACTTCTTTTTCTTTTATGTTTTTTATCGACTGTCACTTGTTTCTCTTCTCTTGACTTTTAAACATGTAACTTGATTTTATATTTACAATATAATTTTATTTTTACACCAAAAAGCCTTTCAATCAAATAATCTCTCGTAGTGTCGGTGACGTATTTCGTTCAACAACTTTAGAGTATTCAAGGTAGAGTTTAAACGAAATTTACATAGGAGAAACCAATAATAATTAATGTATGGTAATGTTGTTTACTATAAATTTAAAGTATATTTAGCAGTCCAAGCTGAATAAGATTTTCACCAAAAACCTTTCTGAGGCGTATTTCGCCGGCCGGTCGTCTTAAATCACTTAAGTAACCTTTTTAGTCAAAAAATATCAGTAAGCACCACTTACCGGCTGCTTTGGGAACTCCTCAAGCCTTTCGGAGATTTCCTTGCCTTTCTTAGGCCTCATAAGCAAGTATAACTTGCCTACATCAGGAATGGTCCTCAATATTTTCTCAATCAGGCACAAACCGACGAAACCAGTGCCGCCGGTTATGAAGAAATTCTTCCCCGCGTAGAACGCTCGCACTTGGGAATCGTCGGGCATTTTCTTTAGTTATTTATCTGGAAATAAAGAAATAAATAATAAACTTCACAACTTTTCGGAAACGAGAAAGTTTACTGAAATGAGTGACGTCATCTGTGATCTGTCAAAATCAAATGTCAATGTCATGGTTTGACACTTTTCGTTCAGGAACAGGTAAAGTTCAAAGATCATACTGCTTTAATTTAATACGCTCAACATTTAACCTCTCCTATGCTTTGTCTCATATCTGTGCAACCTCTGTCAACAGTGTCAACTGCTTTGTCTCAGATCTAAGACAAGACTAGGATTCTGCCGTCGGTGGTTGAAGGATCCGCGTCGTTGCGATACTTTCAGTCACTATTTGTGGGATTTTCTCTTTCGTTTTGAGTTTTTATTGTGTGTGGGNAAGAAATCGCAGTAAGGAACCATAGACTTGGCACGACTTTGTCTAGATTTCATTACTTTTTAGAGATAAACAAGCAGCTCCATCGAGACTTGGCTAGTTTTTTACAGAATGTTTTTGGTGGGATTTAGCTTACCACGAGGGGCTAATGGGACTATTAGTAATTTGTACAATACAATCTTTTAAATAGAAAATAAAATGTTAGTGCACTTACAACTTTATGCGCGATAAGCGTAAAGAAGGGAGAAGAAAAATCAAATAAACATCCTGAACGAATGATTGGTCCTTATCTGGCGTGATGAACTGTATATCTTCTATACCAATAACTAATTTAAAAAATTGGCTTCCAAGGCATTGTAATTAAAATTCGTATGCACATCATTGAGACTTTATACCTATGATGACGAATAAACAACTACTTGATTCCATTTCCAGAAATCGGACGTCATACCCAGTCTACCTAAGCCGAAATCGTCCGTCAGCCCGAAACTAGGGCGAAGCACCCCTACCAATACGGTCCAGGCCGAACCTAGCAAGCCTTCTAACGGCTCTGCTGACCTTCTAGGCCTGGATTCCGCCAAACCAGACCCTAAACCCGCTAACAACGACGATATCTTCTCCTCATTTTTCTCGGCACCTCAAGAAAAACCCGCAGAAGTGAAGCTAGAAGACTCCAAGGCCGATCTCAAGGTGGAAGAAGAGAACTTCTTCAAACAGGCCGCGCCCACGGAAAAGGAGAAGTCGAAGTTAACCAAGGACAGTATATTAGCTCTGTACAGTCAAACGCCATCTACAAACTTAGTTAACCAATTCAATCCGGCGCCCGCGCAACCGGCGTACCAAGGGTTCGGGTATCAGCAGCCTTTTAACACAATGCCGGCGCAGAATGGTATGCAGTTCAATCAGTTTCAACCTATGAACAACCAGTTTCAGCAGCCATTTGCCCCGCCAACACAGCAGCCATTGCCTAATCAGCAGTTCCCTCAAACGAACCAGTTCTTCAGCGGTCAACAACCGCAGCAACCGCTAACCCAGCAATTCGGAGGCCTCAACTTAGGCCAGAGCTTCCCAAACTTCGCGCAAACGAATTCCAATGTTGCCAGCAATACGACTTGGCAGTAGACTGCACTGTTCAGTTAGATTTTTTCACTTGAGGCAACGCGTGTCTATGGGTGTTTGTCTATGGCGTTGAACGAGTTCTCTATGGTTCGTCTTGATCTTGGATCGTAAGGTTTAGTATTGTTATTGCAGCATTATAATTTTCCTATGTTCTTCTGATTATTTTTTTGTGGGTCCAATGACAGTTTAACTTTTCCCCGGCACAAACTTGACCTTCACTGGTTGGGATTTTTTGGCGGTCAAGCTGGAGATCCTGGCTACACAGGAGTTGCAGCGGTGGGATAGAGAGATGAGAATAGTCCCGTTTCAGGGCCGCAAATAAGTGACTATCGACCTGCAATTACATAATTTTGAGTTCATCAACATTATGTCGTTTTAAATTAGTACTTATTTTCGCGAAATCCCACAGATGTGGCATTTGTACTTACATTTCTTTTTAGTATTAAACTATCTTTACGCTTTAAAGTACCGTTCCATTCCCACGATATAATTTACATTTAATCTGATATGAAACTTATCTTATTACGTAAGCGTCACTAGTTTTAATATCTCTAGGTCGAAACAAGGCTACAGACAAACATCCTTATGTGCATGCGATTAAGGTTTATTTTAATTTACGTACGCATTGTAGGTAATGTTTTTTCAAGTCATATAATGAATGTAATTCAGTTCCACTGTTCGTAGAGTGTACAAGTGTATCGGCTAGCTTTAGATCGTTGGAGAATTTCTTATGTGCCATTGCAATGTTTAGCACTGAAATGATTAATTTTCTCAATCATTTTACTCATCAAAATACAGCTTCAGACCGTAAAACCTTTTTATCAAATGAGTTATCTTATTTTTTTAATGCCACAAACAATAAGTTCGCACGGCTATCGTTTATTTATAGCTAAGCAGACTACATACTATACTATTTAGTTATTATACAATAAGAATTCTTCAGCTGCTATGTAAAAGGAACGAATCTACGCTCAAGTTAGCCGATACGCTTGCTATTCATAAACAATTTTGATGATGTGATGTTAACATTGTCTATGACTGCTAATCCTAATATTACACATGGATTTGACGAATAATGGATCTAAATATCGCCATTCGTGTGATAATGAAAATATTTAGTTCTATCAAAAGAACAGAAGAACTCAATTCAACAGTCGAACAGAACATTCTAGTTTTAGAAAGAGACATAGCTTGTAAAAAAACCTTCATCTACCTTCAACATTGTGTAATCTTTTTCTCTGCATACGATCAAGAGTTTTCGGCAATATACGGCAATGTTGCTAATAATATTGCCGAGTTTGTGGTTGTGGTGTAGCGTTTTGTTAACGAATCTTAAACTACCCGAGACATTATTAATGTGATAAAATTAATACTTTGTTGTATAGGTAGTTACTAACTTGTGTCTCTTTTCTTTTATACGCAATGGCGTCTTATTATTCAATTTAAATATACAATTTATGTTATTTTTCTAATTTTATTTAACGTGTAAATTTTTATTATCGTATGTTTACACTTTAAAAACATTCTTAGCACCACACACCACACAGTTCTAAATTGTCGCACATACTATGTTTTAATTAAATTCGTGTTAAGTAGATAATTTTATTTCATTTAATTATATTTTATTTATGGATATTTCTAATATCAGCTGTAAAAAATATTTTTTTATTACTTTTGAATTTAATGTTTATTTTTCATATAAATTGTATGCTTTAATATTGGTGCAAGTGTTTGTACAGGCGACAACACATCAGACTATACATACAGGTTTGTTGGTAAATAGTGCCTGTTACAACTGCATAAGGTATCACAGTCATTAGCTTGATGTGCCGTTGTCTGTACCTTGAAATAGAGATAGGGTCTACTGGGATCATTATGTTCTTAGCTGTGTTACAATGTATAATTCACTCTCACAGGAATAAATGTCCTTTATTCATGAAAAATAAAAAGATTTGTAGCGCCGTTGCAACACTACTTTCCTCTTTTTTATCATATTGAAAAAAAAAACATTATTTCCTTTTTATGAAGAGGAAATATTATAAATGTTCAAAATATGTGTATAGTAATAACCTGGTGGACCCTACATATTTATAAAATTTATGTATCGCAAAACATAAACTTGAATAGTGTTGATCTTGGAGATTTTAAATAACATAGTTTTCTTTATTGCAGAGGTACATAACATTTAAATTTGATTTGCTTACGTGATATTAATTTTTGTATTTAATTCATTGGGATATAACGTATTTTATGTCAATTTTAATGTTGTTTAAATGGAGTGGATTCATGGTGTTTCTGTATTTTGCAGTGGCGGCTACACACTAGAAATTTTGAGTCCCCTAGTACAGTCAGCGTCAAATAGTTTGTGACGCCAAAATTAGCCAAAAAGTTTGCAACACGTCTTTGTTACAATGGGAATAAGGTTGTGTTGTCAATTCTGGCCACTTAGGGTGTGACGAACTGTTTGACGCTGACTGTATTAACTTTTTAGGTGTTGCCAGTTTCAAAAACATTTTAGAAATTTTACATGGTTATTTGTTTATTTTTCTATTTTCACCACTCTGGAATTGAACGTGTTTAATTATTGTAAAAAAAATACAAAATGTTACTTGACCTATAAAAATGACGTCATTCACGTACAAGTATTACATCTGTCGTCAGAGTACTCCAGTTTTTCAGAAATGTATCGTGTTACTTATTATACAGTTTATAATTGTATAATTTAATCATATTGTCTTAGTCCGCCACTGCGTTTTTTGGTAATGAAAGACTGATTTCGCGAAGTTTCTTTGGACAGGGTGGTAGCCACAATAAACTATTGAGCAGCCCGACATGGGTGTAAATACGTATCCTAAAGTGGCTTTGGATGCGTGTATTAAGAAAATTTCACTGTAAGCCTAGTGCTTAACTCAATCAGTGCCTTAGGTATGACACCGGCACGGGAGGGTGATTTTGTGACGCTCAAACGTCAGCAAGATCAAGAAGAGTCAATGTCACTCCTTCCGCGTCGCTCTCATACCTCAGGCATAGACCTATAATGACTTAAGAAAGTTCAAAGTATATCCATGTCTGGCATACTTATCTTGCAGAATGTTCTTTAGATTATTCAGATAAATGGTTAAGCAGTGTTTGAAATATTACTTGTCTGTAATGATTGAGTCTTGTATAGTCCCCCGCATATTTATCGATCTCCTCCAAAATTGAATTTTCATAGAAATTGAACCATGTTCTAAGGATAAGTTTAAAATCTATTGTGGATATCCGACATTTTGGTGTGGTTGAATCTATTAGCGGCTGTACATAAGAAAAATAAATATCAAGTTTGTATAGTGTGTTTACCACCTAACAAAATTAAAGTTTAAATTCCTAATTAAAATAATAGAAAACGAATGATCAGTGATCGGATATTTGGATATTTTCTAATTTCTTTTTAGAAAAAGCGTATATTTTTCTTAGTAGATTATTAGACATCTTGTTAGATTATTTATATTTATTTAAATTATTTTACCAATTTGTTATTGATATAAAAGTAGGGTTTTTCTAGTGCGTTCCATACTGGCCATCACCTGTTCAATAAGTGTGCAATAGTGTGCATCTGATTATCCGATCACTGGTGATGAAACATAAATTACAAATACAATTTATTCGTCGTTAGTGTGAGTGCTGTAGCGTATGAATGAACGTAATGTATGAGTATTATGCAGTTAAAATAATAATGTAATTTGAATTTCCTTTTATAATATACTTACGATTGTTCATGATGATCCACTTTTGATGTATTTAGTTGGTCTATATTAAATGTGATGAGTAAGTTGATAGCATTGTATAAATAAATAGATATAATTGTGAGGATCAGTCATATTGGCTAAGGTCCTTATTGAGCCTGTATTTCGTTTACACAAATAAACATAATGCCGATAAAATGAAGTTTTTTACTAAGAAATTACCCTATTTCTATAAGTATCAATTCCTTTAACTTCTGTAAATTATTGTCATTAATTTATTTCAAGTGATTGACTGATCGGCCGATTGTGATATTATTATAATATGCTCTTGGGATATTTATGGGAAATGGGGATGTTTTTGAATAATAAACACTTATTACGTTAATTATAATACTAATTTATTGAGTCCAACAGATGACAATGTCTAACTAAGAACTACAATTAAATTAACAATCAGTCTTAATCTTTGAATAGGTAGGTACTAAAACGACTAGATCACTGGGAGTTTTGGATTTAACTTCGCTGCTTAGTCCACTTCTTCAACAGTGGGGCCGTCGTGTCCTCCTTGCTGTTGGTAACCGGGCATTCCTCCACCCATGCCTCCATACATTCCACCTCCCGGCATGCCACCAGCACCAGGCATACCTTGACCACCTTGTCCCCCGTGCATCTTGGTCATAAGAGGCTGGCACACGCCCTGAACTTCCTTCAATCGATGTTCATATTCATCGGCTTCAGCCAATGCGTTATTATCCAACCAGCGCAGTGTTTCCTCACACGTCCGACGGCCCACGTCCTTGTCTTGCTCGCTCAATTTGTCACCCGCTTCATCCAGCGCTTGTCTGACTCCAAATACGTAGGCTTCCAACTTATTCCGCGCGGCCACACGCTCCCGCTGACGCTCATCTTCCTCTTTATACTTTTCCGCATCAGCGAGCATTCTGTCGATCTCCGCCTGAGATAGGCGCCCTCTGTCGTTCTTGATGACTATCTTCTCGCTTCGGCCAGTGCTGTTCTCCTTCGCCGATACGTTCAGGATACCGTTCGCGTCCAAGTCGAATGTCACATCGATCTTGGGCACTCCCCGAGGCGCCGGCGGGATCCCGGTCAAGTTAAACGTGCCCAGCAAGTTGTTGTCCTTCGTCATCGCTCGCTCGCCTTCGTACACCTGGATAGTCACGGCCGGCTGGTTGTCAGAATAAGTGGTAAATGTCTGCGCCTGACGACACGGAATTTTCGAGTTGCGTTCGATGATCTTCGTCATCACGCCGCCGGCTG